AACGAGAAATTGAAAAGTGTTTGCGGGAGCTTGAAGAATTAGAGGAAATTCCACCTTTGAAAGAAAGGGTGGAAATTTAAAAAAAAAAAGATAACAATGAGGAAGGCAAACTTGAGTTGAAGTTGTTACCATCTCATCTTAAGTATGCTTTCCTTGATGAAGAGAAAAACAAGCCGGTGATCATTAGTTCGAATTTGACCATGGATGAAGAAAGGAAGTTAATTGTTGTTTTGAAGAAAAATCAAGAGGCAATGGGTTGGACTCTTTCCGACTTGAAAGGTATAAGTCCTTCCTATTGTATGCATCGAATATTCATGGAGGAAGATTTCAAGCCAGTAGCTCAACCACAAAGAAGATTGAATCTTACTATGAAAGAAGTGGTGAGGAACGAAGTTGTCAAAATGTTGGATGCCGGCATGATTTATCCTATTTCCGATAGTTCGTGGGTTAGTCCAGTTCAAGTGGTGCCGAAGAAATGTGGAATGACAGTTGTCCGCAATGAGAAGAATGAGTTGATTCCAACAAAAACTGTAACGGGATGGAGAATGTGTATCGACTACCGTAGGCTCAATCAAGCTACAAGAAAATGTCACTTTCCTTTTCCTTTCATGGATCAAATGCACGAGAGACTTTCTGGTCAAGAGTATTATTTCTTTTTGGATGGATACTCCAGGTATAATTAAATCATTGTCAACCCGGAGGATCATGAAAAAATGGCTTTCACTTGTCCTTTCGGAATCTTTGCTTTTAGGAGGATGTTGTTTGGTTTGTGTAATGCACCGGCGAATTTTCAAAGGTGTATGAGAGCTATATTCTCGGACTTGATTGAGAAGACGATCGAGGTATTTATGGATGATTTCTCATTTTTTGGATCGTCATTTGATCTTTGTTTGAAAAATCTTGATGTTGTCTTGGAGAGGTGTGTGGATACTAATTTGGTGCTTAATTGGGAGAAATGCAACTTCATGGTTACGGAAGGCATTGTGCTCGGGCACAAGGTTTCTTCAAAGGGACTTGAAGTTGATAAGGCTAAAGTGGAAGTGATTGAAAAGTTGCCGCCACCTCTGAATCTGAAGGGAATTCAAAGTTTTCTGGGTCATGCAGGATTCTACCGAAGATTCATCAAACACTTCGCGAAGATAGCAAAACCATTGAGCAACCTGCTCAATAAAGATAAGTATTTTCTTTTTTATGATTCTTGTATGACAACATTTGATTCTTTGAAACAAAGCCTAATAATTGCACCCATAATCGTCGCACTGAACTGGAAAAATGATTTTGAACTTATGTGCAATGCGAGCGATTATGCGGTTGGCGCAATGTTAGGCCAAAGAAAGACCAAAATTTTCCATGCGATACATTATGCAAGCAAGGTTCTTAACGATGCTCAAATTAATTATGCAACAACTGAAAAGGAATTACTTACTATAATGTATGCATTAGAAAAATTTAGGTATTTTTTTATTGGATCCAAAGTTGGTACACCGATCATGCGGCGATCAAGTATCTTCTTACCAAACCGGATTCCAAACAACGGTTAATTCGTTGGATTCTTTTACTTCAAGAATTTGATCTTGAAATTTGTGATAAAAAGGGTCCGAGAATTTGGTAGTAGATCACTTGTCCCGACTTGTGAATGATGAAGTCACAAAACATGAGAAAGAGGTGAGGGAAGAGTTCCCTGATGAAAAGTTGTATATGGTGAAGGTTAGACCTTGGTTCGCTGACATGGCTAACCACAAAGCCACCGGATTAATGCCGGAAGGTCTAACTAGTCACCAGAGAAAAAAATTTGTCTGACGCCAAGTACTTTGTATGGGATGAACCACATTTGTTCAAACTTGGTGTCAACAACGTTTTAAGGAGATGTGTTTCTAAGGAGGAAGCCAAAGACATCCTGTGGCATTGTCACAACTCTCCGTATGGAGGTCATTTTAACAACACAAGAACGACCGCTAAAGTCCTCCAATTGGGATTTTATTGGCCGTCCTTATTTAAAGATGCGCATGCATACACAAAAAGTTGAAACAAATGTCAGAGGATTGGTGGGATAACGCAACAAAATGAAATGCCACTGCAAAGCATGATAGAAGTCGAGGTTTTTGATTGTTGAGGCATTGATTTTGTTGGTCCATTCCCACCGTCATTTGAAAATGAGTACATTCTTGTTGCGATGGACTACGTCTCAAAATGGGTGGAAGCCATATCTAGCTGTTGCGGTGAAATTTGGATGTCAAGCTATTGATTAACTTTAATCTTAATTCATTTACAACCGGTCTTTGATTTATACAAAGGAAAGGTTAAATAAAGGGGAAAACCTGTTTTGCATCATAAACACAATGCGGGGAGAGATCTAGGGTTCGAGGGTTGGTTAAGCTTAGGGAAGGTATTAGCATCCTAAACATCTGTAGTACTCTACAAGAACCTCTTGTTTTAAATGTGCTATTGTTATAGTTATCTGTTTAAGGGTATGCTAAGGGTTAAAGTTTAAAAGAAAGACCTAAAGGGGTTAGTCCTAAGTTTACTCGCCAAGACTCACATCTTGTGCCTACATATCCTGGATAGGGGATGGAATCAGAGTAATCGTAGTTCCCCTCACAGAGGGGGATGAGGAACTTCTTGACTGCGGTCAAGGTTCCTGGGGGGAAGTAAACCTTCATAGGGAAGCGCTTACTTTGGAGTGCGGCGACTCCTATTTCTATGTTAAAGTTGAATTAAGAGGGTGTGAGATAAGTATTCCACGGCGGGAACCTTATATGGAGTGCGGCGACTCCTAATCCTAAGGCTAGGGTAAGGGTTTGAATGTCCACGGCGGGACGCCTAAGTATGAGTACAGCGACTCAGATCCTAAGGCTAGGATGGGGTGTAGGTCGTTGACTCGGCGGTCAAATGGGGTAACTTTTCCTTCGGAGGGGATAAACGATAAAATAAAGCGCAATAAATAAATGAAAATGATGAATCGACATACAGGTGATAGGATAAGAATGAATTGTAATTAGAAGTTGTTAGGACTTGGATGTAGTTGTTGTGAAGTCTAAGTGGACATGAAATCTAGAATTATTTTAAATATTAAGCCTAAGTTAAATAAGAGATGGCTAACTGTCTTTTTTTATGAGAATTTTATGGTTGAGTTGAAAATATGCTTAGAAATTAAACTTAATTTGCAAAGATGAATTAATTAATCAAAGATTAAAGAGTTTATTTATTTTTTATGATTTTTGTGATTTATGTCATTAGAACCTTTAAGTTAAATAAAGTGTTTACATTAATAGTTAAAAAAAAGTTGTTTATTTTTAAGAGAAAAAATTAATTAATCAAAGATTAAAAAAATTCTAAACAAGGATAATCTACTTAAGCTAAATTAATTAGTTAATTAGAAATTAGAAATAAGTTCTTTTGATTTTATTTGATATATATATTTTGGGTTTTTTAATTATAAAAAAGATAAATTAACTTTTAAAAAAGAATCTTATTATTGAATTAAAGTTTAAAAAAGACTCGCTAACTAAACTAAATTTATTTATTTATTTTTATTATAAAATGAATCAGATTAATATTAAATCTAAAAATTAATCAATTACCTATTTATTTTAAACAAAACTTGTTTCTTTTTTAATAAAATAAAATATTTTTGATTTTTTGGATTTTTATTTATTATATAAAAAAAGTGAGAAATGATTTAAATTAAATTACTAAATTGAACATTTTGGTTACTTATAAATATTTTTCTATTTTTTAGATTTTTATTTAGTTAGTTAATTAGTGGTTAGTAGTTAGTAATTTTCATTAATAATTATGATTACAACATACAGAAATTAAATAAAAAAAACAAAAGCTAAAATAAATGAATATAAAAATAAATAAAAAGAGAAGTTGGATTGGGCCGGTGGTGATGAACCCACCGGACCCGGGTCGGTTCAGACGCGCAACAAGAAAGGGGGGAGGGAAAGGGTTCGGGAAAACCCTAGAACCCCAAACCGCGACGATTCCCAATCTCTTTCCCTCTCACTCAATCCCTCTTCTTCTCAGTCTCTGTCTCTGCTTCATCTTCTCAAAACCTGTGAAAAAAATAGCATAAACATTCAAATGGATAAAAACAATATCCAAAACAAAATCGACAATGGATCGATGGCCGTTTCCGGCGAGGCGCCGGCGATGAAGAAAGTGGTTCGCGGTTTTGAAGGTGGCGAGAATGGTGGTTCACGAATTCCGGTTGTCGGTTGTTCGTGAGCTTGCGACGGATGGAGGTTCACGGAAGATAAGTTTCAAATCTTGTTCTTTACTGGTGAAAGTATTTTTTGCGTAAATGCTCTGTGAATCTTTAGATTTTTGTCTGTGTTGAGTCTTTTCTGTTTGTGAATTGTTCTGCTTTTATACACTTTCTGTGAGACTATTTCCTGATTTTGGTATTGAATGAGCGACATCTTGGTTTTGAAACAAATTAATAGTGCTTGATATTGTCTTAAAAACTTATTCCATATTGAAAAAACACTCTTTGAAGTCCTTCCATTTTCGGACTAATCTTGTCTGAAGTATGATATATGGTTTTCCACTTCTGTTGGATTTTGTTTTGGAAAGGTTTTCATGAGTTGTAATCTCGTTTTGATGGTGGTTGAAACCTGTTTGGATTATGGTTCCTTGTGATTTAATTTTCCATTCAAAATTACTAAATTCTTCTATTTCATGCAGGATCTTGTCTGAACCAATTATGGAAAAGAAATGGGATCTGTAGTGCACCTTTGCCTCTCATACGATGGGCACTCTCTTACTTTAAAGGGGCAAGCTTGTGGTTTGATTCGGGGATGAGCCGTATTGACGAGGGTGAGGCTTCAAGGCGGTAATACCCTCTCTCTTTTTCTGTTTCAAAGTGTTTACCTCATTTTGACATGCTTTTAGTTCCTATTGAGGTAGTTGATAACTAACTAGTGTACACTGGCCGTCTTTAGCATTTGGCTGAACAAAAAAAGTGTAAATCATGGCAGAAGATGGTGAAGTTGGAATCAACTGCTGCAGATCTTTGTCCCACTGAGAATATAACCTCCAAACACACTCATTTGCATATGCGGGTGAGTTCTTGATGGAAGTACCTGGTATTCAAGAAGCCACGGCTCTGTTATTTGCAATCCAATTGTCATTTTCTCAAGTTGCAGATTTGTGCATGCAAGTTGCTAGAGGCTGAAGATATTGGTGATAAATAGCAAATGGGGCAGAGTTTGATAAAAGTGGTAAGAGGTCTCTAACCACTGTCCAAGTATCCAAGTCTCGTGTTCTTTTCCCTTTTTCACAGGACTTACTGACTCTATTATATTAATGTAAAATACAGGTTCACTTTATCACCGTCAGTCCCGTCGTGTAGCACGTTGCGGTAGAGGCTCAGCATCCGCTTACGAGACCAAGTAGACGAGCTTTCTTCCAAGTAGCATTATGGTCGCGTGGACTGGATTTAGAGGCTGTGTTGGAAAAACAGGACCGCTTAATGTTTCATGTTGTTATTGCAGGGAAGAAAGGAGGATTCAGCAAGGTCCAATTAAAGACAGGCAAAAAGAATTTACGAATAGCTCGTGGCAATCATAACTTGGCTAGTCGTCGAGCTATAGTGACTGACAACAAATGGAACTATAAAGCCGTTTCAGACAGGTTACCATAATAAACAGGGATTAGTGTGAAGTTTTAGTGTGGATTTTGTTTTCAAACTTTCCTTGGTTACTCCTGCCATAATTGTGACTAGCTTTGGTCCTCATTTATTTCTTTTTTTGCAGCCACTTTGTTCCTGACCAAACTCAGAGGTATTGTGGAACACGGTAACCACCCCTTACTTCGATATAGTGGGTACCGAAATTCAAACAACAGAGTCTACTGTCAAATGCTAGTGAAGGGGTGTATCATACACATCTACACCATTGAGCTCCTTGGTAATTCAATTTCTTGCAGTTAGTTTGAATTCAAAGGGGTATGGGAAAAACAGTCGAGACTTATGTAGTAGTCCTTCTCTTTAATTCAAACTTGTCTAATGAATCAGGTTTTGTATTGGTGCAAGGGCTTTGCGGTGAAGGTGTGTGTTGTCCCATAATTACCGCAGTTCGATTTTCACGTTGTCATCTCTTTCAAGCTGCTGGTGTCCAAACAAGAATCGTAAGAATAAGGACTAGGATTTTATCTTGATCACTCCGATGTCGGGGACGTTGTTTTCAAGAGCTTCAACATTCCTTCTTCACGTGTACCGTCAAGCATTCACGGAGGTGTTCACACTATAAACAACGATGACCTTTTTCTAAAGGAAGTTTGTAAGATGTTTGGTGGTATCTTAATCGTTTTTTTACACTTATCATCTGATCCCATAGCCGTAGCTTTCATAGTGTTGTTTGTTGCAGGAATAAGCAATCTGGAGACATCACTATTAAGGGTCACAAAGGTTGTTGACAAGCATGAACTACTACTGCATCATTTAGAACTTGATGAATTTTTGGATTGTCAGTCTTAACGCTTTCTTTTTCATTATTCTTGATGGGTGCGGCAGCATGAATATGGCCTGGAGCAACATTCTGAAGATGTTCTTAGTAGCTTATATAAAGCTTATTCGGAGTGGCTTCGGCGTGATCTTCGGAAGTTTGAAAGGCTCTGTGTTTGTAACCACCCATGGGTCGTGCCAAGTTGTTGTTCATTTCTGAAGGAATCCAATGTTTTAGAATTCGGTGGCAATCCTACTAGATGTTTGTAGCCTTCGGAACAACTTCGCTTAACACGAGCTTTTCCAAATTCAAACATCAGTTGTTATAGCTTCCTACCGTGGGGTTATGTACTTATCAAAGCCATTACATGTAATGCTTTCATGATTAGAACTGTATTGACACTGGATTATTAATTCTTGTATGTACTAGCATGTTTGAGTTTTAGCATAGGAATTCTAGTCTTTAGTAACACTTGAACCTTGAACTTTTTGAATGGAACATTGTTAAGAAACATAACAATTAAAGCTCACCCATCACCTTCGACAGGTATCACTCACTTGTATATGGTTTGTGGTATAGGAATGGATTCTCTTGAGCATTCCTTAAAGGCATTATAAACCACAGACTTTTATGAAGATAGGATATTGAACTTTAGGACTTGAAATCAAAGGGTGGTGATCTAGCTCATACTTTCGGATGAAAAAAATGAACTTTCCTTTGGGCTTAAATCTTGTAGTTTCTTTGAATATTCTAATGTCTTGATTTTGAATCTGGACTTTGAACCACTATTTGTAATCTTTGTATAAGGTCATGGATTTTAAAGATAGGAATCTTGTCATTTGAATCATAACTTTGAACCTTATTTAACATTTGAGGCGTACTCTTCATGATGACATCAACAACGAATCTTCATTACCTTGAGACTTCATAGCAACCTTTAATCCAAGATTCTTATTCAAAACCAACTACTCACGATATTCACAAGAATAAAATTCCAATCCAATCTCTTGAGATCGGGAAACCATAATAATCTAACTCTTATGACTAAAAGGGTCAACGACGATAATGGGCTTAGTAATTTGAAAATAAAAGCCCTTTGTAGTAGCACACCATGAAGTCTAAGCACTTTGAATTAATTCTTTCTTTCGTCTTAACTGGTACTCAACGTGATTTCCAAAGGATTAAAGTCCTGATAATAGTAAGTACAGAGTCTTCACGACTTCTGAGTCCTCTGCAACAACCTACCCTCACGAAACAAAATAAGCAAACTGGTTTAGTCGGTTAGTTAAAACAGGAATGATGGAATTGTGCGGTATGCAGATGATCAACGGATCTAGGGGTAAAATTTGGGGTACAACAGTTGCCCCTATTTAAATAACTTCACCGGATGATTTGAGCGCCGAAGGCCTGAGAAATCATGGTGAAAGGGATTTAAATACAGATAACCGAACATTTTGCCCTTAGATGCAATGATATGTAATGCTATGGACAAAACGACAATGCTGATGATGCCATGAATCTAATATGATGCGTATGGTGATGATGATAAATGCAAGGATGCAGGCGAAACAACGACACAAGGGAACGACGCAACGAGTAACTATACACTAGGGTAGACTACGCACTGGAGAAACAGAATGAAATCGGGGAAATCTAAAGTGATGGACCAACAGGTTCAAGCATGACTAGTTGTTCACTTTAGAAAGAAAGTAAAAAGAGGTCCTCAATGGAGATAGCACCGGCAAGACGGCCTCCACTGGGGAAAATATCCAAGAATAGTTGCTCAACGGGTCTAGGCATGACCGGATGACATTCTAAAGTGATGGACTAACAGGTTCAGGCATGACTAGTTGATACTTTAGAAATTAGATCCTCAATGAAGAAGGCACCGGCGAGACGGCCTCCACTGGGGAATATCTGGGAGTACGGCCCAACGGGTTCAGGCATGACTGATTGATACTCTAAGATAAAGGGTAAGCTTCCATGATCAAAAAAATGATTTAGCTTCTTCTCTAACTAAATGATCCATTTAGAAAGGGTTCATAAACTTCTTCACGCTTCAAGGTCTGCTGCTCCCTGAAATGATTCCATTTCTTCTTTTACTAAAGGGTAAAATAAACCTCCCCATACTTCAAGGTCTGTATGCCATGAACGGGTCTCAGTTTCTTCTTTTACTTGAAAAGTGTAAAAATTGTCCACGGCGGGATGCCCAAGAATGAGTAACGGCGACTCAACGTCTTACGGTTCAGGAGATGATATGTCCACGGCGGGACGCCCCCAAGAATGAGTACGGCGGCTCAACGTCTTAAGGTGACGGTCACCTGTTGCTAGTCATAATAAAGATAGGGATAAACTTCTCAGGAGAGGACTGTTGCTTGTCTGTGAAGGTCGTAAAAGGACTCTTCTTGATAGATAGTGCAAAATAAATGCACATCCAGGTAGGTTCGGTGACCGATAGAGACCGAAGTTCAATCTAGGATCGAGCTAAAAGGAAACTGTCAAACAAGACTCCATTGAGGGAATGAACTCAAATGGGAATTATCTATTCCTGGCGCGGAAAAGATAACCGAAATAACCATCATCCACGAGGGTTGAACTTTGTGGGGAAACTGAACATAGTAGGTATTTTATGCTTAAGGTTGACGACTCTATTTGGAGAGAACGGAAAAACACAGTTAGTCGACAGTAACCACAGCGAAAGTAACGACGAAAGACAACGAGAAAAACAAACATGCAAATGCTAATGCGTATGTCAATGCGTATGAAAATGAAAATGTGAATGAGTATGCAAAATGTTCATGCTTATGCTCATGCACATGCTGACAAAACAGACGAACGGAGGAGCAAGCAGGAGATGAAACAAACATCTCGACGGGGATACCCGGCGACCTCTGAAACAGTACATCTATCAAGGGATAGGAAAGTTGATGGTGGAACTAAATCTTGCTTCAAAGCTCCGAGTTCTCTGGGGAGAACAAAATTCCACTTGGGGACAAGATAACATGACTTCACTAGAGGATTGCCATCGTGAATCTAAATTTCTGATCAAAGAAGACCTGTTCACCTGGAGAGTCATCTTAGGAATAGAGACTTCTGGGGATAAAGTAAATATCCGCTTCATTGGGGAAGTGTGGAGCTAGGCAGCTTCATGGAGAAAATAGCAGTTTCCTAGAGAAGTACATCAGCTTCCTGGGGAAAACATCTCAACTTCTTAGGGAGAGCATGGCAATCTCGTGGGAAATACTTCCTAAAGAAAATATGGCAACTTCTGTGAGGAAAAGATGATTCCACTAGGGAGTGATCCTCAAATAAATATATCACTTGGAAGATACTGGGGAGATCTCTGCAGTCTTGAAAATTACTAGAGATTACCGGATCTGTCCGAAAGTGTTGTCAGCTTGTAGTCTTGTTGGGGACTGTTCTGAGGCAATGGTTTAAAAGTGCTTCTGCAACAATGAGACTTGCTGGGGAAAGGAAGATGTCCTTCAGAGATTTCCACAAGTCCAAGAAACTTTATATGTTTTAAAAGTGTCTTCAAAAACAGTTTTAAGTTTAGAAAACTTTTCACTTTCGAAATTATTATCAACAACTAGCAATTTGCATAACAAAAATGAAAATAGAGATAGTATAATGGAAAAAAATTGAATTGCAAAGGGTTTTAATTTATTAAAGAATGGTAGCTTGCT